AATTAAGCTGAGAGCATCGCGGACAAGGAACGCTGATGTAGAGGACCTATTCTTGCGCAAGATGCACTGTCATATAAAGTGAGTCAACGAGAGATATCAAAAACGTGGAACATGTGCATTTGGAAATCTGGCCCGGTAAATGTGAAAAATCTCCAATCTGCTACGGAATGACTCATTAGTCGCCTCTCAATACTGCGATGGATCTAAGTCACAGCAAGGGGTCCCACTTAGTCGCCTCTTTTGGTTTGCAGGAATAATGCATGTGCATCTGTTGGTTTGCAGGAATTATGCACGTAATTATCAAATAAGTGAGTGCAGGAGGAATAAGTAGATGAAATGGCTGAGATACTGTATAAATCTGCAAAATAAATCTGACAATGGCTGTTGGTCACACACACTGACATGAAGCAGCAGGCAGGCGAGATAGCAGACCAACTGTGCAGTGATGAATCATTAGGTCAAATGCCCCCTGGAAGGAAAACGAGCGGATGGCAACCGCCTATCGTTTGTTCATACCTCGAGGGTAGCGGGTTTGTAGATTGGTGATCCAAAACCGTTCTCTCGTACGTCGTCTCGTTTCATCCCATGCAGGGCAATGACCTATGGCAGCAACCTGCATGTCTCTCCAACTATGGCTAGGCATAGTAAAATGTTCTGTTTGATGGAGCAGCGGTGGTTGTTGATCCTGACATTGAGCTGGGTGCAGGTCTCGCCCACGTACAGTAACTTGCAGTTATTGCAGGTAAAAAGGAACACCACATTGACTGATGTTTATGTCAGCGTTTGTAGTATGTGATACACTTTACCGTTGATTGTACATTGAAATGTATCTGTGGAGCGCGTGTATGGACACAGTTTGCACACCTTCTTGTTACAGGTATTGAAAGAGCCTTTCGCCGCAGCAGGGTTAGGTGTAGGTAGCTTGCTGCTTACCACAAGATCTCTAATGTGTTTAGGTCTACAATATGCTTGTATAGGAGGCTCTGATAAGATCTGCCTAAGTTTCGCTGAAGATTCGATGATGCGCCAGTGCTTTTTCAAGATAGATGGAAGTGGCGGCATGTCTGGATGGAACATTACTACACAAGGTACCCTTTGTGTATGGGGTCTGACTTTGTATACAAGCAGACTTGCCCTGTCCTGTACCCTCACTTTGTCTATTTCCCGATCTATCAAAGTATATTTGTATCCTCTGCCAAGAAGATGGGACTTTAACTCTGAACATCTGCGTTCAAAGATGATGTCATCCGAAATAATTCGCTTGATGCGCAGATCTTGGGAGTAGGGTATGCTTCTCGTGGTGTGCGAGGGGTGACAACTGGATGGGAGGAGATACTGGTGTGTGTCAGTAGGTTTACAGTGGAGGTCCGTACTAATCTTACCATCAATCAGAGTGGAACTGCTGTCCAAAAATGTGTTGCTCTCCGTTGAGATGTCCGCTGTGAATTTGATGGTGGCGTGGAACGCGTTAGCGTACTCAATAAACTGGTCAAGGGAGTCCCGACCCGATGTCCATTTGATTTGAACGTCATCGATAAATCTCAACCAGCTAAATGGCTTAATTGGAGCAGATGTTAAAAGTTGGGCTTCAAGATGTCCCATAAAAACATTGGCATATGAGGGGGCCATCTTAGTACCCATGGCTGCACCGCTAACTTGTATGTAGTTATCCTCATTGAATGTAAAGTTGTTAAGTGTGAGGACAAGTCTCAGTAAATCAACCGGGCTATCAGTCGATGGGAGGTTGGTACTGCGCCGTTCCCATGCCTCGTGACAGGCTGCAATGCCGCCGTCATGCGGTATGTTAGTGTAGAGGGAAACGAAGTCCATCGTAACTAACCAGGTACCTTCTGGTAAGTTCTTAGCAGGTGTTTTGTTTAGATAGTCTGTGGTGTCTTTTAAAAAAAGATGGTCAATGTTCCACGAATGGTCGGAGGTGGAAGTCAACAAACTGGGAAATTTTCTCCGTCGGGTGGTTGATCGAGTTAATGATGGGTCTACTAGGGTTCCCAGGTTTGTGAATTTTAGGAAGAAAATAAAACATTCCTGCTTGAGGGTTTTCGGGGCGCAGAAATTTCGCGGTATCGTTGTCAATATCACCCTTCTCTAAAATTCTATTGATGATATTATTAATCTGCTGTGCGTGTACGTGCGTCAGGTCACTATCGACCTAGAGATAAAATTGCACGGCGTTTTTAAATTTCCCAATGCGCCGTGAGATTGCAGGAAAAATTGATATTTTTCATGAAGATGGCGATATCACGCGTTCTCACGGCGACCTTGGCGTTTCTACGGAGCTCCATGGCGTTCTACCGCGTTCCTACGGAGTTCTAGTTGGCGATTGGCTGCGCTCTCATAGCGCTTCCACTGCGTGCATTGAGTTGTCACGGCGCGTATAAACGCGGTATAGACGCAGTGTCATCTCAGGGAACACCGTACGATCGCTGTGCAAGCGCCACCGATAACCATTGTGTTCGCACTGCGACCTCTGTGTGCGCCCGCGGCGATCCTGTGACGTTGTAGGAGATCTAACTGCGCTGCTACGGTGACCTCACGGCGATCCCACTGCGCTCTTATAATCAGAACGGCGAGCGAAGGTGTTTGTTTTGATCATGCTCAAAGTGGGCGCCGTCGCTCGGCGTTCTATGC